GTGTGTTGTGTGTTGTGTGTTGTGTATTGTGTGTTGTGTCTTGTGTCTTGTGTCTTGTGTGTTGTGTGTTGTGTGTTGTGTGTTGTGCGTTGTGCGTTGTGCGTTGTGTGTTGTGTGTTGTGTGTTGTGTGTTGTGTGTTGTGTGTTGTGTGTTGTGTGTTGTGTGTTGTGTGTTGTGTGTTGTGTGTTGTGTGTTGTGTGCTGTGTGCTGTGTGCTGTGTGCTGTGTGCTGTGTGCTGTGTGTTGTGTGTTGTGTGTTGTGTGTTGTGTGTTGTGTGTTGTGTGTTGTGTGTTGTGTGTTGTGTGTTGTGTGTTGTGTGTTGTGTGTTGTGTGTTGTGTGGTGTGTGTGTGTGTGTGTGTGTGTGTGTGTGTGTGTGTGTGTGTGTGTGTGTGTGTGTGTGTGTGTGAGTGTGTGTGGGTGTGTGTGTGTGTGTGTGTGTGTGTGTGTGTGTGTGTGTGTGTGTGTGTGTGTGTGTGTGTGTGTGTGTGTGCGAGTGTGTGTGTGTGTGTGTGTGTGTGTGTGTGTGTGTGTGTGTGTGTGTGTGTGTGTGTGTGTGTGTGTGTGTGTGTGTGTGTGTGTGTGTGTGTGTGTGTGTGTGTGTGTGTGTGTGTGTGTGATGATTTCTTGGGTGGGGGAGGAGTGGGGGGGGCACATGCATGTTTGTGTTGCTATTTATTCTTGGTGGGGGACCACATTTTAAGATATTATGCTGGTTGAGGGGAGAAGGGGAAAGCACGTTTAGGTGACCTGAACCCCCCCTGAACTTCCCTCATGTGACGGGTGAACCACGTGGAAAACATCCCCTTTCCCACAATCATCCAAGTGGACGCGGGGGTAGGAGGCACCCAACCTAAGTGGGTCTTCAAACTGGGGCATTGCTTTCCCTTCGTCTTTCCATTCATACCCAACAAGAATAAAGCTTTAAACATACACAAAAAGGATAGCAATAGCAACATTTCAGCCAAAAAAAACGCCACGCGCCTCATAGAGCTTGTCCTTTTCAATGGCCTTGCCCTTGACCTTCACATCCAGCGCCTGGTTGGCAGACTTCCCGGTTGCCAGCTTCACCTTGTACGTCAAGGCGGCGCTGGTATGGTGCAAAGCCCCACATTCCTTGGGCAAGGAGGAGGCCCCACGCTCCAGAGACTTGATGACGTCAGACCCCTTCAGCTTCAACACAACCACCTGGCAGCAGTGAATCAGCCAAGCGGTATCAAGATTGCCGAAACCAACTGTTGAAATGGTGCCGGAGCTGGCTGTTGTTTTGACGATCTCACACAAAACATACGCACACAAAAAAAACCTCAAGCATCACAGCTTCCTTTTCCTTCGCCCTTACTTGGCTTGCGCAGGCCGGAAAAAAGGGCGCCTGCCCTCCACAAAAGCTTCCCTTTGCCAGCAAAACGGGGTGCCCCCCGGCGACCAATTCCGACCCCCAACTGCACCTGGCAGGGCTTGGGGAAGACCCGCATCAGACCTCCCAGCGAGAAGTCCCCCGCGGGAAAGACCGCCTGCCCCGAGAAGTGCAGGCCCATGATCCTCGGAGCAAGTGAGGAAGTGGCCCCGCACCGAATTCCCCCGAAGGATTTTTCCCCACCAGAAGCTGCAGGGAGCTGACCCAAAAGCCAGTGGCTCCCGGTCCCGGTCTCCGAGGAAAAGGGGAGTGGCAACTTTTTGGCTGGTTCCAAGGGGAAATGAAGAACAAGTGTGCACAAAATCAGGCTTGGGCCGGCCTTCACAAGAGTGTTTCGCATCTAGACACGGTGTCACCGGCTTGCTGTTGCGCCTTCCAAAAATTCAGGGCCTGGCTGCCTTTAAGGGGAACAAAGGGGCCTAAGAAACCCTGGAATGATGATTCCCCTGTAAATACCAACCAAAAATGGTTTCCCATAGTTTCAAGTTGGTGCGAAATGGATTTCGCAACCATCCACCGTGAACTAGGCAGGGTTCCTTTTTTTTACTACCCCAAGGTAGACTTAAACCCAGGTTTTCCTTTTGGGAAGATAAACCACCTCTGGGTTTAAGTCTACTTTTGGGGGTTGTCACAAAATGGAACCCTGGTACCAGGAACCTCTCGGCCACGGCTCATGGCGAAATCCGCCGACTGCAGGCCATCCTTCTCGGAGTAGTCCTCCGCCACCGCGTCGCAGATCCAGTTGGTCATCACCCCCTCCTGACATACCAGCGACCCCTCTGCAAAACGGTGATTGTTGCAACAACGGTGAGAACCTCTTGTTTTTGTCCTTGTTGCTTTGTTGTTTAATGTTTTTTTGTTTGTTTGTTTGTTTGTTTGTTTGTCTTGGCTTTTGTCTTCTTCTTTTCTTTTCTTTTTTTTTTTTTTGGGGGGGGGGGGGGGTTGACTAGGTGCTCACCACTGTCGCCGAACCTGTGGGTGGCCACAACGTGTTGTTTCGTGTATGTGTCCTTCCTGTTTTCGCTGGGGGTTGAGGGTGAGCAGCGCGGGAGTCTTGGGACGCGCGGCTTGGGACCCGGCGCGCCGCTTTTCCGCAGGCCGAATCTCCCAAATGGCTCAAAGGAAGCCACCGACCGGAAAAATCCCACCAGTGAAGCCAAAGACCGGCTGAGACTTGCCTGGAACATGGGCTGGATGCATTTCCAGGGTTCCTGAGGTTCCTGGATCACCCCAAAGCCCCCAAAGGGGGGCCTAATGGTTTCATGAGCAGCCGAATCACATTTCAACCTCAGTGGATGTTTCAACAACCCCCAGGGCCCGAGAGAGATGCTCCTGGAATCGCACGCAGGCCTCCGTCGCATCGAAGGGGCTCTTGATCTGACAAATCACCTTCTTGAACTTGTTGTCCCGGATTTTGGAGTACCTGACAACCGCAACCGGAGCTGGTTGCGGAGAAAATATATCTCACCTTGTCCGGTCATGACGACAAAAGCCAAAAAAAGGCCTGAAGACAGCCAAACAGCAAGGCCAAAAGGATTGTTTTTTTTTTTTTATTACTATTATTATTATTTATTTGTTTAAAATATGTTTCTCGCAGCTTTGTTCCGCTGTTCAAGGGCACTTGTCCACCAGCGCTTGGATCACCGGATCGCAGTCTACGTCCGCATCTATGTCGTAGCGCTCCACGGAAATCTTCTGCAAGGTCTCACCCACGTGCAGGGTGGTGTGCGTCAGCCACCGCCACTCCTCCCCCGACTTGATCACCCGGTGCTTCTTATCCGCCCGCTTGTAGAAGTGATCCTAGAAACTGTACCCCATGCAAGCCCCTCTTTTTCAGGTTGCGAAAGGGCGCAGGGGATTCACTGTGAAATCCATGTGGCTGCGATGTTCAATGATTGGAACGGGCCCTCTCACGGTGAGGTATACCTAATTCCTTGAAAGCAAGGAAGCTTGCAACCATTGCTCCTATGCCCAGTGGCCATGGGGAAAACAAGGGTACCTTTTTTTTTTGGGGGGGGGGGGTGAGTTTAAAGGGACACCCTTCCCCCCCAGAAAAGAGTAAAAAGGGCACCACTGGGCAACCAACATCGTGGGCTCAGGATACCCATCTTGCTGAAGCAAACCGTTTCCATGCTAAGAGGCGAAACTCACCATGCGCCAGGTGGGATGGCACTGGCAAATGTCCAGAATATACATTTTCCGACCAGCCAAAGGTCACCAAGGTCAGACTCAACCCCCCGGTCTCACCTTCTGAGTGGGACGAGACACCCACCCCACCCGCCATCCCCCGACTTCTGGGCTCGCGGCATGGCCGCCCAGGAGGAGGTCGATCTCCGGCACCGCGGCGGTGAGCTTCTTGTCGTTGTCGAAGCGATTGTGGGTCAGCGCCACCACCACCTGAAATCCAAATCGCAGTCAGTCAAAGACCCCCCGAAACTGGTACCGTCGTTCGAAGATGTGTGCTTGGTTTTTCGTGGTCCCCCAAAACCGATCTCCACCTTCGCCTAGCTTACTTCGAAAGGCGGGCCTGCGCACCCTCAGCCTTCATCTTCCTGCGGGCGAAGAGACATGCTGCGGCTCTGGTTCCACGCTGCTCAAAGGTTTAGGGCTTAGCGTCTAGGGTTTCCCTTCATTGTTTAGAGGGGAGTTCAGACCACCACTTTAAAATGGAGGAAGGCCTAACCTAGAAATCCATGAATACGGGGATGCCCACTTTTGGAGCAAACATGCGGCAAACACAACCCGAATCTGCTCCCTTCAAGGGCGGAATCTACCTCATGTCACAAAAAGTCGACGTCTTCCCCGCCGGTTCGGTGGGAACTGCCGCAAATCCGCAAAGCCTTTTCAATGTAGTTGACCTTTTCAATGTAGTTGAATCCGGTGGAACAGTGCGGGCTAACACTAAAGCCTTCCTACCAACCAGTGCTTTTCCATGAACCCATTTGGCACTGTACAAGACACACCGACTTTGTTTTAATCTCGGTCGATCCATCGTCTTCCTGGGTTGAGTATCCTGAAGGAGCATTGGCACTCGAAAGGAGAGAAAGGGAGAGAAAAAAAACAAAGGGGAAAAACATGTCTCATGTATTGCTTGCTTGCTGTGTAAGGTTACTTCTACTGATGTGTAACATCTATTTGGTACTCTATGATCCAGTCCGTTTCAGTCCTGGCATAGGAACGGCCCGTCTGGATGTAGTCCTCGTACGCGATCTCCCCAGGCTTCAGCTGGGAGCAGGCCCCCAGCCAGTCCTCCGACAGCCCCATGAGCCCCACCTGGCGAAGCGACACCCCCCAACTCGCTAGGCGCTGGGCGCAGGGCGCGCGCAGGCGGACAAAGGATGGAGAAGGATGGAGAAGGATGGAAAAGGGCCAGCCAAGATGTGTCCTTCTTTCTTTCTTTTTTGTTGGGGGGGGGAGTTCTCCCCCCAAAATCCGGACGGATCCAAAGCTGAGCGTAGTCATGGAAGTGGACAGCAGGCCTTCCAGGGTGGTAGTCTTCCGAGACTCTGTTCCCTTTCCATGGGAAAGCGGGTGCCAGGGTTTGACATTGACGGTGCAGATGGTCCTCATGAAGAGAGAGCTGCATCGAGCTTCACTTTCGTCTCGTTTTTGAGGAGGGACCCGTTCTTGCGGCTGATGCTGTTTGGCAGTCAACACAGCCAGCCCCCGCCTTGATGCCATTGACCTCCACGATGTCATAGCGCTTGGTGTCCTTACTTGTCCCCCCCGTTTGCCAGGTGCTCACAGGCCCTCTGATCATATGTTTTGTTTGGCCTTCCTCGTCTAAAGAACCAAAGGCTTAGAAACCGTGGGAAAACCTCAGAACCAAGAAAGGGTAAGAAGCTGGTCCAAACAATCCACCATGGGAGAACCTCCAAAGGTCCAAAAGGTCAGACTCCAAGCCCAGCCCTGGCACGGGAGCCAAGACCGAGACTTTGCGTTGTGCGTCCCACTCACAATGAACAGAAAAAATATCATGCCAACGGAAAAAATACAAAAGAATAGGCCCCAGATAGCACACCACGGCTACGAACCATGACGCAGCATCATAATGGCTCCCGCGGCATGATGATGATGTTGACAGCATCTTGGTGATGTTGACAGCATCACGAAAATACCACAGCTACTCAGCATAGTGCGCGACATAGACGCGCAAACAACGTCCTAGTGAGTCCATCAGCAAAACGATGATGTTGACAGGATGATGCTGGTACACCAGCCACGAACGATTCCGCGCTACGTATCTAGCAGAAAAAAGGCAGGGCGACGTCCTGATGAGTTCGACAGCATCATGATGATGCGGACAGCATCATGATGATGCTCACAGCGTCATGGTAATGGCAAAAGCAGCATCCTGATGATACCACAGCCACGAATCATCTTGCGACAACGTAATGAAGTTCAGCATCATCCTGATGCTGACAGCATTATGCCCGCCACCACACCCACGAACCATAACGCGGCATCACAGCGATTGCAGCAGCATCATAACGTGGTTGACAACATCATGATGATACAGCAGCCACGAACCATTGCGCGCGACAGCTAAAACAGCAACAACGTCCGAATCGGCTCAACAGCATCATAGTGCTGCTGACAGCACCATGATGCTGCGGCCAGCATCATGATGACGCGAGAACCACGATTCCCCAAACAGCCCGCCCTAGCACCCTGCCATCCATATGCGCCCGCACCATCACCAACACCCGAAAACAGCAGCCCCAATAGCACCCCAACGCAGCACCCGCGTCAGCACCGGACACGTCCCCGAGCACCGGCACCTGCGCCAGTCCCACAAAGTGCACGCCCCCTAGCTCCCAGCCGTCGATCTTGCAAAACAATTTGCCTTTTTCATTACAAGTCTGTGGTTTCCAGTTATCTGGGAAATAAGCCCACGCGGTCAGCAGCACCTCCAACAGCAACACAAAACAGCACCTGCACCACCACCCCAAACTGCATGCCCCCTAGCACCCGCCGGCAATCTCCGAAAATTATCTTGACTGCTATTGGGTAACGGATCTTTAGACTTTAACTTTTTGGGAAATCAAGGGGTTTTCCACTAAACCCACAAAAAGTTAAACTTTTTGCAGAGGGGTCAACAGAAACCAAGATTGCGCCCACAACGTCAGCAGCACCTCAAACAGCACCCCAAACAGTACCCCAAAACAGCTGCATCAGCTCCCCAAACTGCATACGGCCATCAATCTGGCAAGAATGCGCCTGCACCATCACCAGCACCTCAAACAGCACGCCAAACTGAGGGGCCCCCTGCTGTCCATCAGCGCCTTAAACAGCTCCACCAGCACCCGAAACTGCATGCCCTCCAGCACCCGGCCGTCAATCTCGCAAAAAAGCACCTCCACCAGCACCCCAAACTACATGACCCCTAGCACTTGGCCGTCAATCTCGCAAAACAGCACCTCCACCAGCACTGCAAACTGCATGCCCCCTAGCACCCGGCCGTCAAACTCGCAAACAGCACCTCCACCAGCACCCCAAACTGCATGCCCCGCAGCACCCGGCCCTCAATCTCGCAAATCACTTTCCCTTCTTTACTAGAAGTTAGAACCCCTATAGCTTTCAGCTATCTGGGGAAAAAAAGATTAAATAAACAAGAAGAGAAAAGCAAGAAACAAATAAATAGGAAAACAAACTACATTAATATGCTGTTAAAAAACCAAACAACTCAATGAATTCATACATGAATAAACAAATAAACAAATAAATACGTAAATAAATAAATAAATAAATAAATAAATAAAGATATATATATATATATATACAGTATAAACATGTGAGAAAGCCAAGCTTCTGCTCCGCCGACCGGAAGCCCGGTCTTGGCCTCGCTCATGTTGGTCATCAGCCAGATAGCTGTGGTCTTCTCGTAGTCGATCAGTGTCCCGTCCCCTGCCTGGGCGTCATCGTCATGGCCCTGAAGTCAGCATTGGCCGAGAGGCAAACCAAGACCCAGCTTAAGGGAGACCAAAACCAGGTGAACTACGGTGGGACAAAATCCTGCATCAGTTGATAGGCGGCTTATACCACTATTTATGGGGTTTCATTGATCCCAACTGGTGCAGGATTTCGTCCATCGCCAGCATAGTAACTTCCTGCTAGTTTTGGTCAAAGCTGTCGGCCCATTCCCGCCTGAAGCCGATTCAGCAGGGACTGGTACCCGTAATCGAACTCGTGGTTTCCGAAGGTGGCATAGTCCACCCCCACCGCGTTCATGGCATCAATCATGTGGGCACCCTTCGAGAAGGAGGAAGTGAGAGATGGCCCCACAAAGTCGCCTGACATACACACCAGGACTTTGGCGGGGGCCAGCTCGGCTCTCAACTCCTTCAGTACCGTCATGAACCTCAGTTGGCTGTGGGTCAACAATTGGTACCCAAAATGGAACCCTGATACGTGGAAGCAAGGTCGTCTGGTGGTTTCATTCTGACCCATGCCCAAATGCTTGCAAAGAACCAGCAGGCGCGCTTACGTCGGGCAAACGACCACAAAACAAGGGCGGTTCTTCGCTAGAGCATCTGAAAACTTGTCCACACGGCACAAATGTCCAGGGTATTTGGTTGTTGAAGATTTGGGGGACGAAGGCAAAGTGCATGTCGTGTCCGGAGACGTTGAAACTGAGTTCCTAAGCCTCCCGCCTCCCGCCCCGCAAAGACATAAGCACGCCCAGAGGACAGACCATGTCATGGAGCACAGACCATGTCGTTTCTGGCGACATGTTCATGCCCCCACGTCCATGCACTGCCCAGCTGCTAAGCAAGTTCCCATATCCCAAATCAAATATTCGGAGGGTAAGCGCCCTGCCTGGCTGCACCACCCACAGGATCATCCTCGGTGTGTGGCTGCAGGTTGTAGATGTCGTTGAAGTGGACGATGTGGACTTGCCTCACCTCGTTCTTCCCTCTCTCGACGACCACCTCCTCCCCCAGGGTTGGCGCGGCGCAGCAAAAAGCCATGTTTTTTTTCTGGCGGCACGGAGGTGGCTGCGAGCCCTGCGGAAAGATGGCCTCAAAAGTTTCGGCGGCCAGACACGCCGGCAGGTGCAACAAACTGGGCGACGGCTTTCAGAAGCCTGAAAAAACGGAAAGCTTGAGGACAAACGGAACGAAAGTGGAACAGCAGGCGGTTTTACAGCTTCCGGCTGACAAACTGGGTAGAATCGAGCCTGCAAGCCGTGACGCCGTGGGGGTCTAATCGATTGATATGTCACGTGTTTGCCGGAATGATTGATATAATAGACTCAACTCAACAAGTAGGCATTGTGTTGCAGTAGCTTTCTCACGGTTTTGCCAGGAAGGCTTGAAGGAAGGAACGAATGGAGGAAGGAAGGAAGGAAGGAAGGAAGGAAGGAAGGAAGGAAGGAAGGAAGGAAGGAAGGAAGGAAGGAAGGAAGGAAGGAAGGATGGATGGATGGATGGATGGATGGATGGATGGATGGATGGATGGGTGGAAGAACGAAAGGACAATCGAAGAAAGATACCACATGCCCCTGCTGACACAAACATCTCTCTACATGCTCTGCCGAGGCTGAGGCTGCCATGGTGCCACCAGTACCCATTGCTCTCATGTCTGATGGAAGCTCTTGGCTCGCTTTGGGGCCAACCGCCGGTGAAAACCGGCTCATGATTGACCTCAGAAAAACAAGGCTCCCGTTGCAACCCACCTTGCCAAACTGCTCAACCACGCCTGGTGCGCAAAGAATGATTGAGATTCACAATGCAGGACCGCTTCCTAAGTTGCATCCCTTCATGAATTCAACAAGACAACTTGCTCAAACAGAGGTCGATGTCTACCGAGATTTCCGGACCACAGCAGCGGATTTCCGGGGGACAAACCACACCCCCTTTTTTTGGTGGTTGATATTTGAGCGGAAAGCCCACGGAAAATGCTAGCGAAGAGCCAGAATGCGCGGCGCGAGCAAGTTTCAATGATCCATCTGCATGGGCACAGCTCGGGTTAAGTCGAGTCACAATCGAAACCCGGTATGGTCTACCCAGAACCATGCTTCAAGAATTAAGAAGGCGGAATTCCGCAACTATTTCTGGCTGGGACTGCCCCTTTCTAACCTTCATCTACCCAAAGTCGAGCAAGACTGACTGACGCCCTTCGCAACTTGGGTGCTGATCCCCCAGCAAAAAGTCTTCACATGAGGAATCCAAACAGGTTAAAGCCTCAAGAAATCCAACCCAACAGAGGCAAAGTCCCCCAAGAAGTCCACTAGCGCCCGAAAAAAGCCGCCGAAGGAAGCCCGGTGTCCTCTGAGAATTCCCGAGCTCGGCGCCGGCCCTCTGGCTTTCCTGGCCCCAAGCGCTGAGCTGAAGCGGAAGCGGCGCTTGGCGTGGCGTGGGCTCTGAACGCGGCCCTTGGCTTCCGCAACAAAAAGCACCCAGGAGAAGCTTTTTCTGAGGGGGAAAAGGAAAAAATCGCTAAACGTGCACTTTGAGAGACATACAAGAGCTTGGGGCCAACTGCGAAACATGTCGGATGGATTCGATGTGTGCATGGCTTCGGGACTTGACCCCCCTCGTTCCTATGCCATCATGACCAATCACTCCGACTCCTCGTCTTTAACCTCCTTCAGGAGGGACTCGGCATCCCGCACCAAATCGTCGGTGGAATGGTCCTCAGCTGGCAACCTTCCTGCTCATGGTCAAGCAAAGCAAGCAATCAGCAAGCATCTCTATCTTCCTGGTATCTGCCAGCGGAACCCAAAGCCGAATGATTCGGCTCCTTGAGGTTGTCCTGCAAGACAGCCTTGGTCGAGTGGAAAAAATCGACCACTTTCTGTACCGAAGTGAGCAGTATCCCCATGTACTGTCAAGGGATCCGGATCCTGGCATAGGAACAGGTCTCACTTCCTGAGTGGATCCAAAACAAAAGCACGACAAATCCAGGAACTCAGGACGAGAAGAAATTCGGAACTGGACAGTGGCCTTAGTGGCCTTGGCTGCTGCCTGACTATCCAGGGCCCACACCAGTACATCCGCATCGCCCTGAAGCTGAGCCGGCCAGGCTGACATCAAACCGCATCCACAAGCCCAGGAAGCCATCCGCAAGTTGGGCCCCAGGAACCGCCCCCAAGCTTCCAACGCCTTCCTCACATCCAGCGAGTCTTTGCTGCCCGGAGAGGGAGAGAAAAACCGAAAAACCTTATCGCCAACTGCCCAACCCCACGCCCTTCCCCAAAAAAACGCTCGCGGGGAAGCCACCTGCCCACTGCACGCCTGCGTAGGCTCATCTGACAGGTGCCGCAGCTCCGACTCGGAGCGCTTCGGCGAGACCTGGGATCGGACCGCTGGCCGCAGGAAGTGGACCGGTGCAGCGCCACCGACTTTTTCGACCAGAGCCGGAACCATGTGGCTGTCTTGTTTCATAGGGAGAGGACGGAAAAGGAAAAAAACAAAAGCCAGGAAAGAGGCGGGCAAAAATTGAGCAACGAACCCAAGCCAAACCAGACATGGCCCAAAATTATGGGAGATGTTTCCCATTTGAAGCAAAGAGGGGGTAAAAAAAGAAAAAACAACCCCAAAATCATGGAGATGTGTCCCGTTTCATGGTTGAAAGTAATATGTTTGTGGTTTCCCTCATCGCCACGCCGTGCAAAAGACCATTTGATCAACCCGCCAAATGAAGATGTGATGGAATCTGGGCTGTTTGAATTGTCGCGCCCAAACTCCACAGAGTTGGGCAAAACTGCAAAACTGGACTAGAAAGTCTGAGGGCGCGTGGGACATAAGCGCAAAATCCACGACACCACCAGGGAAACCACGACCATCTGGAAGGATCAAGGATTTGCTTAAAACAACCCAGGAAAGTCGGCACTGCCCAAAACGCGGCAGAAGCAGCGAGAGCGACCAGCGGCCAGAGCGATTTCGCAGCTCTGAGCAACCAACAGGAGAGAAGTTCTCTGAAGGGCCCTGGCGCCCGCGTCCAACTGGCCATTGGATAAGCCAATTTCCTCGTGCCCAAGCAAAGATGCCGGAATTGACATGGGAAGAATGGCGACCCCAACTTCATTGAAAACCAAAGGCTTACAAGGCACTCAGAAGGCAAACACCTTTTTTACGTCTTGCGCGAGCTTTTCAGACGTTACCACCTGCCCGGTGTCAATAGGTCCCCCAAGTTTTTTTTCGCGCCTCCAAAGACAGCTCCTTGGGCCGAGCCTCCGGGCACAAAGCAGAAAAGAGCCTTTTCACGTGGAAGTCTCCCCCAGGTTTTAGGAGCTAAGACCACCTACCGTTTGGGAGCCCCCCCCCCTCCCCCCCCATCAATTTTTACCGGTGAACTCGTTCCTCACCCAAAAAAAATGTTTGAGGTGAACCACCTCACCCGGGTCCAGAGAACGAGAACCTCGGTAACCTCGGATACGCCCGACGCCTGCGCCCGTGGTTCGGCCGGCCTGCACATAGTGCACCCGGCAACGGGCCGCTGGAGCGGAGTTGCTTTTGTCATTTTCCCCCTCGCATTGCAGCAAATGAATAAGTGGTTTGCTGTGATCAGGGGAAGAGGGGAAAGAGAAAGGAGAGGGGAGAGAAAGGGGAAGGAAGGAGAGAATGGGAGAAGAGAAGGGGAGAGAGGGAGAGGATGGGAGAAGAGAAGGGGAGACTTGCAGGCTTGGTTCATAAAACTGGCACGGCTTCCCCGCTTCCCCTCGAGAAGCGCGAAAGAACTGACCGCCGAACTTGTGAAGATTGCCGTTCCTTTGGGTGCGCTTCTCTGATTGCGTGATGGCGCTCAGGCGACAGTCCAATCCAATCCCCAGCCTGTAACAAAGAAGGCACATGCCGCTCTCAAACCAAACGCACGTGGGACACCACTCTTGAGCGGCCCACAAACGCACAACCAGTCCTTCACCCATTCACCCCCTATCTCCTATACGCTTGGCGGCATGTGGCATCAGCCAACGGCCACGGACAGTCAGGGTCGACACACCGTCGAGACGGCTTGAAGCTTCAAGCTTGCGGCCCGCGGCTTTTTCGCATGGACGAAGAAGAAGCCAAGTTTACAGTGCCCCTCCTGTTTGGAAACATCTAAATACCCACACAAAAGAAAAAGGAGACTCAGGGGCTCAGCTCGAAACGGCCCTGGAATCCCTCCGAAACCACCTCAGCAGCGGCCTCACCACGGGATCTGGCTTCACCAAAGTCCTCGGCCTCAGGGCTCTGAGCGCATGGGGAGGATCCAGTTTTTTCGGCAAACTTCCGCCCTTTTCACAGACCTGAGGAAAAAAAATCGACCAATGGACCCGTCCATGGGGTAGCTCCAGAGATAACCTCCGTAGAAAATCGATGGCCGGACGCCGAAACCCCTCGCACTTCTGGACTTCCGGCGCCCCGACTTTGGCGGGAGATCAATTTGCCACTGGGCGTGCCTCGCGTCGCGCCAGCCGGATGCGGTTGGCGCCCGCTTTGGATCTTACAAGCCAAAAGAGGGACAAAAAGTGAGCCAAATCAGAGGTTACCGCCAAACCCTCAAGTCCCTGCCGTTTCTTCTTTGGAGAAAACGCCGAGGGATTCTTCCTGAAGCCCGGCAATTCAGCTTCGACATGGCCCTGGCGGCTTCAGGGAGGTGATCGGCTTCTTCTCCTAGCAAGACCCATGGCCAAGACGAGGCGTCCTTCATGCCCGATGGCCATTTTGGACCGTAGGACCCGGGTGCCAAGACGAGCTCCGGCAAAAAGCCAGCCCCAAGCACGGGGGGGAGGCACAGCACCCTTTTCCAGGAGGGAAAAAGACATGTCAAGGCCTTGCACCGCGCATTGCCAAATTGAGGTTCCCACTTTCTGGGTGATGCCATGCCCCGTCCCGCCAAAACAGGCGCGCTTGGCATCGGTGACCCCACTACCAAAGCCCTTCGGGGAGACCTGGGTCCACTGGAATCCTCCAGATGACCCCCTGATAGCCCCTTAGGCCCTCCAGTAGACAGGCTAGAAGAAGGGAACCAATTTTTTCCGTAGTCTATTTTAGTACGGGAACCGTCCCAACCAAAAAAGGGGTTAAACAGGGCACCTAACTAAAGACCCATAGCCTCTGAATGGCGGTTTACGCCACATCCTCGGCACAACTCACCCCCCGTGCCTTCAGGACCTTCAGCGTGTCGCTGTTGCCCGTCTCCACCGCTGCCTTACCGGATCCGGGCTGAAGATCTGTTGCAGCCCTGTCCGTGAGCTTTTCCACAGCCCTAAGGCCCCGGCAAGCAGTTGTCTAGAAGGAAACAATGAGAAAAACCCAAGAGGACAGATGATGCGGAAAGGCAAAACGGGCGAAGTCTGGCAATGAAGCCTCTCTCCCAGGATTGTCGTCACTATGGGCCGGGGTAGAAATCTGCAGCACGTTCAAAAGTTCAGGGGTTCAGGCATCGGACTCTCTATATTGCAAAACAAAACTGGGGTCCGGCGTTCAAGGGCCGAAACACTCATGGGCATATAACGACTGTCTCGAACTGAGAGAACCTCACAACATGTGTGTGTGTGTGTGTGTCCGATCTGGCTTCCTATTTACCAGCCCCCCCCAAAAAAAGAAAAGAACAAAACTTACTATTTACCAGCCCGCCCGCCCCCCCAAAACCAAAATAAAAACAGACAAAAAAACTGCCAGAAGGCCAAGAAGACAAACAGGGGCCCCAAACTCGGCGACCAAAAGCCCAAAGCCCCGGGACCGTGGCCCGGGTGGCGCAATACCAGGCGGTGCGGCCGTGCTTGTCCTGCGCCGTGAGCTCGGGAGCCGGCACCCGAGCTCAAACAGGCAGTGTGTAGTGATATGGTCTTAGAGCTTATTATCTAAGTTATGAAAAGCATCTTGCAATCTTTGCAGAAATTGATTATCTAAGCTATGAAACGCATCTTGCAGTCTTTGCAATCTTTGCAGAATTTTATTATCTAAGTTATGAGAAGCATCTTGCAATCTTTGCAATTCTTGCAGAATTTAATTTCTAAGTTATGAGAGAAGCATCTTGCGATCTTTGCCGTATTTTATTATCCAAGTTATGAAAAGCATCTTGCATTCTTTGCAATCTTTGCCGTATTCTTTTATCTAAGTTATGAAAGCATCTTGCAATCTTTGCATCTTTGCCGTATTTCAATATCGAAGTTATGAAAAGCATCTTGCAATCTTCGCAATCTTTGCAGTATTTTAGCATCTAAGTTATGAAAAGCATCTTGCAATCTTTGCAATCTTTGCCGAATTTTATTATCTAAGTTATGAAAAGCATCTTGCGATCTTTGCCTTTTTTTATTATCTAAGTTATGAAAGGCATCTTGCAATCTTTGCAAGCTTTGCCGTATTTTATTATCTGAGTCATGAAAAGCATCTTGCAATCTTTGCAATCTTTGCCGTATTCTATTACCTGAGTTATGAAAACCATCTTGCAATCTTTGCAATCTTTGCCGTATTTCATTATCGAAGTTATGAAAAGCATCTTGCAATATTTGCAGTTTTTGTTATCTAAGTTATGAAACGCATCTTGCAATCTTTGCAATCTTTGCCATATGTTGTTATCTAAGTTATGAAAAGCATCTTGCAATCTTTGCTATCTTTGCCGTGTTCTATTATCTAAGTTATGAAAAGCATCTTGCAATCTTTGCAATCTTTGCCGTAGTTCATTATCGAAGTTATGAAAAACATCTTGCAATCTTTGCCCCATTTATTATCCAAGTTATGAAAAGCATCTTGCAATCTTTGCAATCTTTGCAGTATGTTGTTATCTAAGTTATGAAAAGCATCTTGCAATCTTTGCAATCTCTGCCGTGTTTTGTAATGTAAGTTACGAAAAGAATCTTGCAATCTTTGCAATCTTTGCAGTATTTTCTATCTAAGTTATGAAAAGCATCTTGCAATCTTTGCAATCTCTGCAGAATTTTATTATCTAAGTTATGAAAAGCATCTTGCAACCTTTGCAATCTTTGCCGAATTTAAATATCTAGGAAATGAAAAGCATCTTGCAATCTTTGCAATCTTTGCCGTATTTTACTATCTAAGTGATGAAAAACATCTTGCAATCTTTGCATGTTTTTGCAGAAATATGTGGTCTAAGTTATGAAAAGCATCCTGCAATCTTTGCAGTATTTTGTTATCTAAGTTATGAAAATCTTGCAATCTTTGCAATCTTCGCAGTATTTCATTATCCAAACTTTGAAAAGCATCTTGCAATCTTTGCAATCTTTGCAGAATTTGTTATCTAAGTTGTAAAAAGCATCTTGCAATCTTTGCAATCTTTGCAGTATTTTGCTACCTAAGTTGTGAAAAGCATCTTGCAATCTTTGCACTCTTTGAAGTATTTTGTT